TAAGAGGGTTTTTATTATGGTTATCGTGGAAAATATTGACCTCGCCAAGTTTTATATTATCTCGCTTCCAACACGGATTATTCCTTCGCTTGCGAAATCGTTATAATCAAAATTTTTATTTTATTAGCGACACAATAACGACGTAGAGAGTTACCTACAAACGAACGTAAAATGCTCTTCACTAAAATCTTTCCATATCGAGCCTGAATCTCATTTAAAATAGATGCACATTTTGCTCGTACTAAACAAATGTTTTCATACTACGATCTCCAGGATTTACGTTTTTATATGCGCACATCAGAAGACCTTTCCATTCTGTTTATATGTATGCTGTAGTTACATATTTATGAGCAAGATTTGTTTCCCACATTATAAAAACAAGCTTTGCCTTTTCCTTTTCCTCAGAAATGCTCTCATCGTTCGTTGAGAGTTGATTGTTTACGAACTTTACTAGACGTTCGCTATTCGAAAGAAAAAGTTCACAATAATTCGTATGACAACCTATGGTCTGTTCATAGATATGAGAAAGTGACCAATTGCTTTTGAATGGGGTTATCCGAGGGTTATCATTAACATACAATGCAACAAGATTATTACCTAAAGTTTCGAAATTTAAATTCAGGTAAAATTGTGGTCCATAATAGAAAATAATTTTATACCTACCTGCGCTTAATATTCTTTGGTTTGGTATACTACTTAGTTTAAGTTTATTAGTAATCATTCTTATTTCGAGTGTAATACAGCGTGTATTGAATCGTGAAAATAAATAAGAACTAAGTTCAGATTTTCACTAATTAATATATTATGACATGACAATTGTTTCGACAACACGGTGTCTTGCTACTACATATATCGAAAATGATCATAAAACCTTAATTAATGTTGTGAGAATTTAAGTTCAATAAAAAAATAAAAAAATTAAAAAAAAACAAATACAGACAACAGTAAACTCTATTTATGCGAAACCAAATACAGAACACGAACAATTTAAAACATTTACATACATAGGAGAACCTAGCGAAAAAGTTTCAAAACGTTTGTCAAAATGTGGTTTAAAAATAGCTTTCAGAACTAGCAACACAATAGGAAAATTTTTAAAAAACAATAAAACGAAATGTCCAAAATCTCAAAAATCAGGTGTCTACAGGTTGAAATGCGGATCTTTCCCTAAAATTTATATTGGACAAACAGGTAGATCCTTCAAGAAACGCATTAACGAACATATAAGAGCGTTTAAAAACAATAGTCTAGATTCTAATTATGCTACACACTTAAACACAGAAAAACACATTTTTGACGACAATTTTGATATATTACACACAGCCACAAAAAGTAGAAAATTAAATTTATTGGAAGCCATGGAGATTAACAAAATGAGACATTTAAATGTATTGCTTAACGATCAATTAGATTTAAATACCTCTCCTGTATTGAATTTAAATTCTCATGACAACATTAATTAAGGTTTTATGGTCATTTTTCGGTATATGTAGTAGCAGGTAGTTTGTAATTACATTTGATAAAGACACGGTGTTGTTGAAACAATTGTCATGTCATAATATATAATTTCGTGAAAATCTGAACTTTTAGTTCTTATTTATTTTGATAAATGGATTTTCATCAAGTAACAGCCACCTCAGTTCAATTGTTGAATCGTGTGAATTCTGCAAAATATGTGAGAGTCTAGTGTAGCTCAAGAGTGGCTCCAGCCCAAATGTAAAAAATACTATTCTATTGAGACTAAGGAAGTTTTAAACGATGTTTATTTGACTCTCATTGAACGTGGTGCCAGCAAGCAAACACATTTAGAAGAAACGGTCACATTGACGAAAATTCCGACATCAATTGTATGGAAAATTGTGAATAATCCCATTTCAGCGAAGAAAAAAAGAAGCGATGCTGGCATTTAAGTCACACATAAATAAATAAAATAAATAAATACTGTTTAGTAAATTTTCTAACAAAACCCCAAATAATTAAATTCTAAGCAAAGTACGGACCTGTTCGGCCATATTTCATTCTTACAGCTTGCCCGGATCTTTCCTTAATTCGTATCAGTTAGTCACTTTCTTATATCTATGAACAGACTTTACCATCATAAATAGCAACCTTGCATACAAACGGCATTAAATAAGGATATTTATTAATTACGTCGTTATTATCTGGCGTCGCATTTAATTTCAAAAGGGTCGAATTTATTGAGCCTCCATTTCATGCAAATTAGGTTACGTGTGGTCGCAACTAAGATTAAGTAAAACAGGTAAAAGTAAACTGTTTACGCAAAATCTGAAGTTATAGACCGTTTTGCATATTAAAATGCTTTTATCATTCTATCGAATGGGCCCTTAAACTTGCCCTGAGTTTATATCGTCGGGAAATGCTTAAAACATGCAGTATTAAAATTGCCTTCCGCCTTCACATATTAACGCGGATTTATTTCGAATATGGTTGAATTTTATCAATGGAAAAACAATAAATAAAAAACGTTTAAAAAAGCCCATCTGGCCTTAAATTTCTTCTAAACCTATCCAAAAAATGAAGGACTTTATAGTTCCCGATAGTAGTTTTATGAATCGTTTAGGTTTTTGGTATTATTAGCAAAATAGATAAAAAAGATACTTTTGACATAAAGCGATAAAGCTAATAAAAAGTTATCTTGATGATCGAATGCAGTATGTTGTTGAAAAGGTCAATCAGCTAGAGAAACTGTTTGTTACGGTGTGCCGCAAGGTTCCATACTGGGGCCACTTTTATTTACAATTTACACCAGCAATTTTGTATCGTGTATGAAAAATGTTTCGGCATATTTTTATACTAATGACACCCAGGTATTATATTTATTTGACCCCAGCACTTTAGAGAGCAAGTTGACTATTATTTACAAAAGGGACACGTCTCCTTAAAGTTGCTTTATCCGCATCACCATTTATTGTATGAGGCTCAAAATATTAAATTATCGGATTCTATAATGTTAAGTTACTTTAACTATTGTGAGATTTTTTATGGCCCATGCCTAGATAAAACTGACACATATAGAATTGAGAAATTACAAAAAAAACTGCCGTAAATTTATGGTATAAGAAAATATGATCCAGTCTCACACAAACTAGAGGATGTTAAGTGGTTGAATATGCAGAATAAGCATAGACTACACTCCTTTGGTATTTTTTCACAACATTATTTTTAATAACAGTCGTCCTTACTTGACAAATAGAATAACATATCGAACAGATGTTCACAGATTGAACCTTAGATTTAGGGGTCTTATCTCTCCAACACCACACAGGACGTCTCTTTTTCAAAGAAGCTTCTCCTGTAACGTTTACAAACTTTACAATACCGTTCCTCTCTCTTTAAAAGCCTTATCACCACTAAACTTCAAAAAAAAAAAATGAGACAAGAAATGTTCAGCCAACAAGCAAATTGCAAATGATTTTCGAGTAAGTTCAGTCCTAAAATTTTTAATTTTTATATCCACGTACGCATTTTCTTTTTTTGCTATTGTTATCTCATACGACCTAATAATTTTGAAATAGTTGGTATTCGAAGTGTTTTTGGAGCGCGAGCATTGAAGATGCCAAGTGAGATTTTGGCGAAACGTCTGCAGGATTCCAGTCGGATGCAGGATTTGCAGGATTCCAGTCGGATGCAGGATTCCAGTCGGAGTTCAACGAGCGAACGGATGATATCCCGGAATATAGTGTCATCACATTTTTCCATCCGTGAATCAATACGTGAGAATATATATATATATATATATATATATATATATATATTATCTATGATGTGGGCGATAACTATAAATTTAATATAACCTTAAACAATTTAAGGTTAGTTGCTATGTAGTTCTGTGAGAACTTAACTAACTCTGTTAGACGTGAATTTAATTTAATAAAGATATATATAAAAATAAAATTGTGTGACGGCCTAATATTATCGAACTTTTGGTATGTGGATATTATTTACTGGGCGTGTCTTACTTTTAGGAATAAAAGAGCAAAAAAAAAACAAAATTCTAATGTGCCTTACCGCAGGAAATATAATTATATTTCTGACCATCTGAAACAATGTGGCTAAATCTCTTTTCCGTGCAACTTTAGTTAAGGTTTCAAAGATCCTTTATTTATAAATGTATTAAAGTGTGTATTAGTCTTACCACAGTTAAAGCATGTTCATCTGAGAGAGTCCATTTCTTGAAAAAAATTGACTTACTTGATCCTGGTAATTAATTAATGTTCTTTATTATAAGTTTATTTTAAATTATCCTATCAAGAGTGGCTAGAAGAGCAGCTGTGCTGGATCTCACTGTTACTGTTTGATATATCATCTAAATTGAAAATAAAAACATTTTAAATTGAATTGAAGTGTCGTTATTTTAAAGTACAAAATTTCCCATTACTGATTCTTCTTTACGTTTATTACGCAAATGACTTAAGAATTGTTTATTAGTTTGTGATTTAGTAGGTCCCACAAGACGCCTGCAAGATTTGTTTCCGTTTTTATCATATAATATTGATAGGTTGATTTCCTATATTAAAACACATTAGAAAGCTTCTACTGATTTCCAATTTAATGACTCTAAATTATTTTTATAGGAAAGCAATATAATGAATGTTTTCCCAATTTGCTATTGGTTGATTGCACGATTTACCGAAGTACGAATCAATTTAATGAGGGTTGCAAAGAGAAACGCAAGCGAGGTAGGCCTACTATTTACCAAAGTTAAATAAAGGATTACGTCGTAAAAACAGTATATCGTTGGGAACAGTATATGATTTTTGCTCAAACTCGGCTTTGGATTCGTTTTAATTGTATAATAAGAAGGACATTTTGGTGATTTTAAATGACTTTTAAATTGCGCCTGTCGAATTTATCATCAATATCAATGGCATTGGTTGTGTGGAATGTAAAAAGCGTGCCATAAAACAGCATAATTCTACAGCAAAGGCACCTCAAACGACGGTCAACATGCAAACAACAACAATACGTTACCCACGTACAGTGGCAGTAGAGCATAATTCCGGAAGCCAAAACAAATACCGACGCGACCAACACCAACATTAACAACAAAATGGTCGGTCGACACCAAATCGCCCACACCGACGTTCTGTTCGAATTGGCTACCGTCGATGATTTTCGACGATCTTTACACCCACAGCACCAATTTTTCTCGGCCTCCACTTCTGGTGTCCGCGTTTGAGTTGACGGCTGCGATGTTATGTGTGCGTTTTGAGTACCGTGCGAATTCTGAGCGGTGTGATTATTCGAATTATTCGCGTTTCGGATAATCGAACTACTACCCATCGAGTTCACAACTACACCGCGGTACACCTGTCCGCTCTGCGGCATGAAACCGTCGTCGTCGTCATGCGCATACGTCACACTGCGCATCGGGGGGTCGTGATAAACACCATACGATTCGACCATACGCGCAGCCGACTCAGCGTGGCGAGGCGGGTAAGCAGACTGCCTCATCTTTTTTTATTTTACCGCAGCTACGTACCAAGTAACGTTAGTTTACGTTTGCGGGGAAGCATTTTTCACGGTCTATTAATAACGGCATTATTTCAATAGTTAATCACATTTCACTACCTGAAACAAGAAATTATTAATAGTTCAATAGAACGAAACGTCGCTTAAACGGCTAATAATGTTTAATACAAAAGTAATTTGGTGATTCGAGGGCAAACCGCACAGAACGCGTATTATACGTGACCGAAGCTGATTGTGCATTTCCAATATAACATTAATTAATGTAATTAACTCAAAACATTATAAGTAACCCAACACTACAAACCCCTACTAATACCGGTTAAATTTACGTTGGTGAGATTTCAGTCATATCGATCAACAATTTCAGCTCTCGCTTCACGGGTATCATACAAAATGTGGATGTTGATTTAATTTTAATACAACTTTTAAGTGCGATCCCAGATTGAGGATAGCACTGCAGTGTGGTCTACCTACCACAAAATATTTATTTATAGATCACTGCCATTTATATTTATGAATTTATTTGGAATACTAACGGATATCAATAATCTATAAGTGTCCGTTATTGCTTAATTAAAATAATTACTAAACCATAACAGCAAAGAAGATATATATAAATACAACAACAGAAAAAAGAACAAATCATTGGAAAAATAATATTGCATTTTAAAACCTCCTATAAATAAATATTGTTACAGTGCTAGTCTGAAATTACTCTTCTGCCCTGTATCTCCTCTCTTATAATCACCTTTTATGGGCTAACACCTAGATCGTTAAAAATTAACGAGTAATAGAGTGTTGATAGAGCCCTATCTGAGGCAAAACGCTTTGGCTGCTTGACAATATAAGCTACCAATTTATTTTTTACAATGTTATATGATTTTTAAGTCCATTGTTATACTGAGGTCTTGAATTAAGTCAACATGTTTCAAATTAGAGGGTTCGCTAGTAAGATACAAATCTGTCAAGATCAGCTTGAACTCTGAGATAGTCAGCTAAGTAGTTGGGCCAGAAAAAGATAGAAAACTTTTCCCAAGGTTTGAAAGAAAGGCATGTTTACAGCATTTTTCTGTATTAAATTATTGTACTTTTTTTGAAAAGATCCCAGATGTGCCGGATCTGCTTGCCATAAGATATACATAAATATGGTAGAACGCATAGTTTAAAAATAGAATACATAAAGGATTTACAATTTGCAATGATTTTATTAAGCTTATTATAACTACATTGACTCGTCTGATTATTGCGTAAATTACCTTCAAACCCGTACTATCTCTTTCAAACCAGACACAGTATTTTATAATAACTTTCCTGGGAAACTCTGTATGGGCAACAATCATTTTTGTAATTAGAATTAAGATTAATAAGAAGACTTTAATTCTTCTGTTAGTAAAATAAAATTATTTCACACGATAATTGTGTAGGTCACGTTTCCTTCAAGTAATTTTCATTTTGTGTTTCATTTCTATATATTAGGTTATTTTCTAATTTGTGTATTTGTCTTTTTACTATATATTTGCTGTCTCAGTAACTGACCACCTCGATTCCTATCAAAACCTTATTTTGGAGGTTGATTTTCATCAACTTCGCAGCTTCGTGTGTTGATTCATCCACAAGCATCACGTTCCTTAGTTTAGGCGCGTTAGACTACTGACGAGGGTTGAGTTTATCAAGGGGTTAAACCACCACTAAATTTCATAGCAGTCACTATCTTATCATGGTAACAATACAGTTTGCATCTCCAAATAGAGTCGTGAGAATAATCCGGTCCCTTATATTATTTCACCCATAAAACTTGTAAATTTGTTCTGCCTTTATTACATTTATTTATAATAGATATTTCACAGAACTAAAAAACTTCTGTAAATAATCTAAGCAGGAAGACAAAATTGTTTTGTTTCGATATTGTCTCCGCGTAAAAATGGGGTCGTAAAATTTAGGTCACCCTCCGGCTGTTTCCAGTTCTACAATAAAATACGTGTGGTCTGAAAATTAGTCTTACTGACGTGTAACTCATACCGAAAACACCTGATGTTGTAACGCGACGTCGGAAAAATTTGGTAATATTCCATCAAGTGGCCGTGAAACCCTTAACACGAATAAACGAAATATATCAGCTCGCCGGGGTTTTGCGGGGTTAAGGAATTGCGATAAGGGAAGAAATTAATTAAAATGTCGCACCAAGCTTGGCCGCACTAAATATTTATCGTGAGCAATATTTTCTTCTTAACGTGAGCTTCTGATCTAGGGCCGCTGCTATGTTGGCACCCGTGTTTCACGTTGAAACCCCCGTCGAAACTTTCTTAATAACTCCCCGGAGCGAATTCAGATTTCTTTAATTCCAAGCGAGCTGCCACGGTGGTTGCCTAACTATCTAAAGATTGCCTAAACTATTTCAAGGAAAGAAATACATTACATACATCGACATATATTTGATATTTTTATTTTTGATATTATGCCGCTTAAGTAGATAGCAACTAATAATAATATTAATAATAATTTTATTCACGTATTGATATTTTGTGCCTCCGTTTTTAAACCTATCCTAAGAAGAAGGTAGCAGCGCTATGCAGGGAAAATACACATACAAAAAGAAATAAATAAATAAATACCTAGTACGACCTGTGCAAATAGAGGGACATACACTTTGGAAATAGTTTACAGTAGACATCACTTAAATATTTAATGATAATAATACTTCACGCAGGTGTGTGGAAAAAGGATTGTTTAGCAATTTAAGAGACTGATCCAATGCATTATATGTTTTAGCCATGGCATATGTAAAAGATCTTTCAGAGGTGTGACGTGGACGGGTGAGCAGGCCTTTACATCTTAAATTGAAATTGTGACCGTCCGTGCGAAAGCTGATTTTTTTTGAAAAGATAGCGTGGAGACTTCAATCTAATAATTTTGTGATAAAGATTACATTTATGGAGATATCGTCGATTTTTCATATTAAGCCATCGGACTTCCTTCAGTTTATGTCTGACAGGCCAAAAATGAATCTATGACAGTATTTCTGGTTTTTTGAATCCGTTTTGAGGCAGCCGCTGTCAGACATGGGCCATAGACGACATCACAGTGGTTAAAAGAAGATAAAACTATCGAATCACACGGGACTTTTTTAATGATTGATTTAAAATATCATTAGAACCATATAAGCATTTTAAGTGAGCAATGGACATTGTGTAATGTGACTGTTAAATCTTAGCTTACTGTTGAGCATAAGCCCAAGGTTTTTAGCCTCCGTTTTCAGAGGAATGCACACATTCGATATTTTTATTTCAATTAGTTGCGATAATCGATCAACATCCACGGGCCTACCAAAGAACATTGCTATAGATTTTTTTGGATTTAGATGGAGTGAATGTTCTAGGAACATCCTGTTAATAATTTCTGGATCATTATTTATGATTTGCAGCTTTCTCCAAAATGAGTAATAAACTTGTGTATCATCTGCGTACATTTGGGTTTTGCAATGCTATATAAAACTAGGAAACGAGGACGTATATATACAGTATAAAATTGGCCCCAGAATGGAGCCTTGAGGCACCCCAGATATTATAGCACAGCAGTCTGATTGCTGTCCATTTAGAACCACTTTTTGTGTACGACCTTGTAAGTAGTTCCCCATAAATTCGACAGCAACCTCATCAAGCCCTATATATTTTAGAATACTTAGGTGGTGATTCAAGGTATCAAACGCCTTAGAGTAATCCAACATGACCAAGACGGTACATTTGACTGAGTTTCAGGAAGAATACTATTTTTCTCCAAATGATCAATCAGTTGCGTTTTAATGATATTTTCCAGAATTTTCGAAACTACAGACAAAATGCTAATAGGGCTTAATTCACTATAACTTGTGGGACTTTTAGTTTTAGAAGGAGGCACAATATGTGCGATCTTCCACGCGGAAGGAAAAACGGAATTATTGATGCCAAAATTAACGATGTGGCAGATATATTTAAGAATAAATGGACAACAAAAGAATGGAAAGTTTACATGCAAACCATCTGCTCCGGCTGCTTTGGAATTAATGTTGCATAAAAATTTCGACACATCAGTCTCTGTGATAGGAGAAAATTTCAGCTTCGAACCAGTCAAGATAATTGGGTTATGATAATGGTCCGATATGATATCCGTACTAGAGGTGGGTGACACCGGGATTGAATTAAAGAAGTACTTATTGATTTCATTAACGTTACGGAGTTGGGGTGGAATATTTGATTTTTCCTTGGCGCTAATAATATTAAGATTTTTTAAAGATTTCCACACTTCTTTCGAGCTACGATTTAACACATGTTGCATATAGACCTTTTCTTCCTTTTTAATTGTCATACTTGTAAAATTTCTGAGACTTGTATTGTTCCAAATCGACGACATTTTTATTCACTGACTTACTTTGTAAAGTTGTCAATTTTTATTTGTTTATTTATTAAATTATTTTATTTTGCAAACTGCTCTACTGCAATTAATCGTTAATTCTTGTGTATCGCAAGCAACGGTAAAAATTCTAATAACAAACATAAATAACATATAGAATTGACGTATCGTTACTAACGGTTTCTCTTTTTATACGACCCAAGCGTTTTATTAGCGAAAAAAATATATGTATCACGCAGCGATATTAACAAAGTTAGCTTAGGAGCAGCAATTTGGAATAAACTTTTATGCCGGTATTAGCAACTTTGAACATCCATAAATAACGTGTTTATCTATCCGAAGAGGTACGGAAATTTTACATACGCATCACTTTAATCCTCGTTCGTTCCGTAATTTTTGTTGTAGCTTGTTAATCTGTTTCGTCCACGGGACACTTGCATACTGAACAGATTTGCTGGACAAAATATCGACGTTGTTATTTCGATTTTATAAGCATATCGGAAAAGAATTTTCCCTATTCTACGGAACGCAACAAGCATCGTCTCCAGCCAATCGAAACTAGCAGAGGTTGATGGTTTTCTATTATAGAACAAGGAAGGGGATTTTAAAAAATAGTCCTATTCAACGCTCAGATCATCTCGTTTTCTTTTCTCATGTTTTATGTTTCCATAGTAAATACTCTAATGTAGGTCGATGTTCAAGTTAAAATAGTT